GAGTAACGCCTATCCTATATAAATTCTTGATCATAATTTGCCGGAATCTGAGCGAATAACTTGAAGTTTTCATTATTAACAATTTGTAGTGAATTTTGAGTACATAGTTAAATCACCAAACGTTTGGAGGATTTTTATGTATATTTATGAGAAATAATGAACCTGTTTTTATCTGTTTGATTAAATCCATTTAATTAATATTTATTGTATTGTTTTAACACTATTATTGACTATCATTCACTTAATGTACACTTTGTAGACATATTAAATCCTCATTCCGACTAGTAAATATTGTTTACAAATGAAATACACCAAATTCCAAAAAGCTTGTAAAGGAAACAAAGTTCTAAGGTAGAAACAAAAGAGCTTCATTAACTCCACTGGGATTTCAAAGAAAAACATGCCAACTCAACACTTGCACCTCATTTTATATTTTCGTGTGCATTCAATTTAACATTTTACAACGTCGGCGCCGCCACTCTGAAGGAGCTAAAGAAACGTACGTGCCTTTTATGATGTCAAAAGCACACAGACAAACATACTCACACAGTTACACATACATACCTGCCATGTAATTAAGCACTAGTGCTAGGGTTACCAAACGTAACCTATTTTTCCGTATAAGCAAAACTTATAATTACTTCTGTAGTTCTCTTACTGAGTCAGGTAAATATAAACTATTTTGGAGAATATCGTCAAAGTCAAATTATGTATTTGTTGAAACCACATAAAATCCAACAAATGTAATTGAAAAAAATACAAGACACTGCTAACGCAATAAAAATGCATTTAGTACTTTGAAATTTAACACAATGCACCCTAAATTCTCAAAAAGCTTACGTACTATGCGCACAGCGCAAGCAACAAAAACATGAAAAGATTTTATAGGTAGAAAAAGCTAGGTTCCGAGAATTTCCTTCCACATTTTCACAACTCTACACGTCAGCTTATACATACATATTATGGACTGCTGAAGTGTATTTTTAATAGTAATAGGAAGTTGAATGTCAAAGTTTTATTGCATTATTTTTACACGTTACGTCGTAAGTATTTTCTATTCCATAAATTAATTACCACAGAACTTTAATAGTGTATAAGATTTTCTTTTTATGGTATAAGTCGGTAAACGAGCAGACGGATTGCCTGATGGTAAGCAATTGGCGCCGCCCATGGACACCCGCAACACCAAAGGAGTTACGAGTGTGTTGCCGGCCTTTTGGGGATGGGGGTTGCGGATATAAGGATTGGGAAGGGATAGGAGAAGGGAAGGGATTGGGCCTCCGGTAACCTCACTCACACGGCGAAACACAACGCTGTGGGTTGTTTCACGCCGGTATTCTGTGAGGCCGTGGTATCACTCCGGTCGAGCCGACCCATTCGTGCCGAAGCTTGGCTATATGAAAACATTTACAAAATATATCAATTAATACACTATTGTAAACTGTCTAAGATGCAGGTCACAATCGCATTGTATTGGCGAACCATCTTCCGAGCAACGACATCCGGACGCCTTCAGCGCGGGACAGCGAGGAAGGGTAGCTCGCCGCCCGGCCAGAGCTAGATCCAAGTGTACAGCGCATAGTGTTTCGCGCGCACCTTAAAGAGCCAGTAGAAGTTGATGGAGCCCAAAAGGCTGATGTTAAGCCAGGATTATGGACCGCAAGAGGGTACCGCGGCGGGAGCAGGAGAAGAAAAGGGGTGGTACAAAAATTACTGTTTCGGAGTTACCTATATAATGTACTTTCTAAATAAGATTACTCAGACACGTGTAAGATTACTCAGCAAGCAATTACTCAACCCTTTAAGTGTGAGATGAGGCCTTTGCTCAGCAGTGGGCACTTATAGGCTGATGATGTATATTTTTTATGGTCGGCAGTTGGCAGACGGATTACCTGATGGTAAGCAATCAGCGCTCACTCACATGGCGAAACACAACGCTGTGGTTGTTTAATGCCGGTTTTCTGTGAGGCTGTGGTATAACTCCGGTCGAGCCAACCTATTCGCTCACCCCTCACCCCTCACTTGTATTATATAAGATATATTTCATGTCCGACAATAACAGAGTAAACCTTTCCAAATTGTGCATTTCAGTTCGAATACTCAAATCGATTTAGAAGCATTTTATGTCACAAAACTTATTATGCATAATGCCCTCAATAGACATTGATTTATTATTCCTCACAACTACAGTGAATATTTCCCCAGCAACTTCCAACGTTCATCTTAACTACCTTACATCTTCACACCTTCATAACAACCATCAAATATTTACCCCAATTCGTCTTGCAAGAGCAAGCAAAAGCGGCCCTTAACTACACAAAACAACGTTGAATTTTTCGCGAATTTTCTCTCACGTTTGACGTGATACAAGTTCGAATATTGAATGAGCTTTGAATAAATAATGGTACGAATAAACTTGTACAATGTATGCTTTGTTCATGTTTTCTTATATACGTTTTGTTTGAGGTAGGTGTTGCTTGTCGAAATTTTTGGTACTCGATTTTAGCTTAGCCTTATATTTAGGCCAAAGAGACATGTTTTATGGCACTTTTTTTGAGGGAGCCTCGTCAAATCGCCTTCTCTCGCGCTCAATAGAGCAAAGGAGAGTGTTGGAGTCTTATTGACTAAAAATCACCGTGTATCTTCTCCTGCTCTAGGCCTTAAAGAGTATACATAATATACACATACCCCGATTTTATCAGTTAACTTAAATTATATGTATGTTATTGAACATTTAAGTAATATGAAAGGTCAAGTACTATCATCGTGAATTTAGTATTCATAGATTGGGCATTGAAGTAAATGAGAGTTATCCCTGGCCTAAATAAACTTCGGTACACCGAGGGATGGGCGTGTGAAAGGTAACCATAAAATTACACCAGGCTTGCATTCATGCTGTATAAATATTCCACCGTAAAATAATTTACATACACATCCACGAATTAAAATGTCGTGTTGGCCCAGAGGTTAAGGAGCCCGCTTCTCTTGCATGAGGGTGTGGGTTCGAAACCTGACAAGTACTAATGTGACTTTTTTCGAGTTATATGTACTTTCTATGATTATTTAGACACCACTGACATACGGTGAAGGTAAACATCGTGATGAAACGTGGACTTAATATTTCTATTTACAAGTTTGAAATTGCCAACCAGCATTGAGCAAGCGTGGTGATCAATGCTCTAACCTTCTCCGTATGAGAAGAGGCTTTTGCTCAGCAGTGGGCACTTATAGGCTGATAATGAGGATGATGATGATGATATCCATAATTTAACATTGAATTTCTTTTACCATTTCGTTTCTTTACATTTTCTCTTAGAAATTTGAAAATAAGGTACATTTTTCAATGTTCATTGCAAATAACAACTTACTCACGTGAATTAAGTTATGACGGGACTCTTATTCATGAGCACAGTACGTGTCGTTGTGACGTAGTCGTCGCGCAGCCGATTTTCAGTTCAATTAGCTAATAACAGAAGTCGTCATTTAAAAAAATTAAGTACTTATGTCTCGCGATAGTTACTATTCAAAAAGGTTGTGTATGTTGCAAAATGGGCGCCTATCAAAGCCAACCAGAAAATGTTCTTATTTTTTTTCTCTTTGTTCAAGAGATAAAGTGACATTTATTTCTTATTTATTACCCCGTCAGTAGTGCACAGATGCAACAACTTCTCACACAAACTTTGTAGAAAACTTACAAGGTAAATGATGGCCTGCTAGATCAGGCACTTATCTTCATGTAATATTTACTTTGAAGTGATATGAAGCAAATAGTATGTAGGTTTATAGTATAGATTGTCTTGCTTTATATTTTTAACCCATTAGAAATAAAAAATACTTAATATACCTGGACTTGCACTTGCACCCGCACCCCAGTTGAGATCATTAGATTTTTCTGTGTAATTTATTGAATGCAAAAAATATACCTATGTAATTGCTGTCGTAGTAAGTCGTAGTAATATTAATATTAACATATTTTTAGTTATATATTTATATTTCGAAAATTACCCTGCGTTACAAAGATTCCTTACAAATTAGAGGTTATTCATCAAAACCGTGATTTAATTGAGAATGTTATAAAACATTAATTTTATCAAAAATGGAAGCCATTTAACACGAGGGCGGGCTATTCATCTTAGCTCTGGGACACAAATTGTCTTTAAGTTATTATAAAAAATATAAGCACGAGTAATTTTCGTGTCTTTTTCAAAATTAAATGGAAGTTAATTCATTTTGTTTTGTGCAATTTTGTTACAAAAATATATATTGATAGGAGTACTATTAGTTTGTATAATATGTGTTCTTTTATGAGGGCGGAAATCTTAAAACAGATATTATAAAGATAATTATTGTTGTAGTTTTACTTCACAAATCTCTCGTCCGTTTCGTATTTTCAATGAAAAAAAAAATAAACTAGAAAAAAAACCAGCGGATTTTAACGATGTGAAAATAAAAATAATAATAAATCACAGAAAAAAATTATTTAAATTAAGCCTTTGACCGCCGACAGAAAACTGTTGAAGGCAAATCCTTCACTAACGGAGGTCACCGGTGACCCCCATAACCTTTAACGTGTTAATAATTATTTTACGTTTAAAAAACAAACAAATATCGAAAGAACGTGACATAATCAGACGAATAACAAAATTATATCACCCAAAATTTGCGTCATCAACAATAATCTTCCACAGAGACTCTAGAACTCAATTTCCAATTAGGTTGCTAATTTAATTAAAACAAAGTTAACGTATCGGAAAACAGTTCTACGGTTCTTAATAAAGCCGGCAATATTACCCGCACTAATTAATTGAACGCGTGTAATAATGCCGGTTAGCCATTCTTTCGCAGGTACTACCGTAAACTGGTAGTTGTAATCATGTACTACCATTTTAGTTTTTGTATTGTAAGTGTTTTTAACTATTACCTAAAATTTGTCATCTATTTACCTTTGTAGATCAACAATTTAAATTGTTTTGTTATGTAATAAGTGGGCAAACGAGCAGATGGATTACCTGATGGTAAGCAAACAACGCCGCCCATGGACGGATGACTCCTTCGATGTTGCGACGTTGCGTCTTGCGCTGCACGTATCCATGTGCAGCGCAAGACGCAACGTCGCAACATCGAAGTAGGTACGAGCGCGTAGCAGTTCTTTTGTGGATAGCGGATTTGGAGATTTTGGGTTTGGGGGAGGGGAAAGATTGAGCATCCGCTTACTCACGCGGCGAAACACATCTATATAGCATGACTTTCCCACAAAGGTCTACGCAAATTTTTCTTCGTTACTAAAAACCACCTCAAACCTTCTTCTAATTCGAGCAATGCCAGCCAAAAATTAAGCTGGTGGGCTACAAATCTTTTGTAAATTATTTTTTTATGGAATCACATGATGGTGTCAGTCAGTGTTGTCAGTGCCACCCATGGACAGGTGCAATACCAGAAAAATCACAGGCGTGTTGTCAGCCTTATAGAAAGGCTTGCATTCATAGCCGTACTGGTTAAAATCAAGCCATCAAACGCCCTGGTAATATCATCATTAATTTAAACTATTTTCATTACAGCTACTTACTTTAACAATTGTGACTTGCAAGCCTAGTGAAGATATTGATATAAAAAAACTTGAAAAATTGAGTAAGTTTCTTTCACAGTGAAAAGTGTTATTTATTCTCTTAATTTAAGGACTATTTTACCTATTTTTAGACTCGATTATAAGGTTTAATATTGCTCGCAGTGACGAGGCTGACTGCTTTAACGGGAAAACAGGTGGATGATCCTGGTCTTGATAGCGCTCTTGGAAGCGCTATCGAAGGATTGGCAGAATTGAAGACAGATTCGTCATCAGAAATTGTGAATTCGGATTTGGACAGTGAAGGTAAAAATCATTGCACTAGAGATATATCATTTTTATTATAACTTTCGTGAGACATTAAATAAATTAATGATTATGTTTTCGGCTTATTGACGTAATGAATATGGGCCTCTAGCATGGCTTGAAACTAGTCGAGTATCTCGTCAAATAATTACGTGAGTAAGCCGAAAACATAATAATTAAAGATATATCATATTGTTATAATATAATAATTATTTTTAATGGAAATATATATACTTTACAGAAGTAAAGAGGTATTTTAAAGAATTGGGTAAGTTTTTTTAAATGTTTTATTGATTATACATAAATATGAACATACAATGCAAAGTACCAAATTATATTTATAGTATGATAATAATCATATACACATACATATGACATTTCTTCTTATTTTAGCCAAAAAGGAAGAAAGAATGTATAAGAAAGCCATTCGTAAGTTTAACACAAATATATGAATAAATGTATTCAATTTGTGACAAATTTGAAATTCATAAATAATTTCCTTTTTTATCATTTTCATTTTTAGGACAACAAATAAGCGAGGAAGGTATATAAAATATAATTTTGTTTATATTGTTATATTTTATATATTTATATTTTCAGTAACAAGAAGTGTTATATTATTTTTACAGAAAAAGATCAACTAAAATATTACGAAAGCTTGTTAAAAAAAATTAAATCTCTGAATTGTAAGTGAAAATTCGATCTATTATAATTAATTAACTTCGGTATCCTCTCTAGAGCTATCTTGAATTTCACACACTGTACCACAACAGTCGCTTTTATTAATATGAGATTATAGATTATAATCTTTTACTATACCAAATTTCATTCAAATCCGTTCAGTAGTTTTTACAGGAAAGAGTAACATATCTATCCGACAATACTTAAACATTTTAGCGTTCATTATATTAGTAGTATTAAATAAACTACAGTTACTTAAGAAATAAACAACTTCATAAAAAATATTGGATTATTGAGTTGTGTAAATATGGCTTAAGAATAGTAATTTCCTTGTATTTTTTTCAGTATAAAATGAAGACAGAAGTTCTTAATACTTGTTCAAAAAATAAATAATTTTCATTTATGATGTATTATTATTTCATTATTGTTTAACAAATTGAAAAATATATTTATTCGTTCATTTTAAATAAATAATTATGAGGCAATTTTATAATTTATTCAATTAAATATTTTGCTGTATACGCTTAATTCAACAAACCCCAAGCGGACGCGTATTGTTCTTCTGTATAATTGACTCTTAAATTATCAGGATTGAAAGGTTAGGTACTTCAGAATTATTTACTCCGGAATCGGAGAAGTGCACATGCTAAATGCAACCTATTTTAACAAGCTGCGTTATGAGTTTTATAAAATAGAAAGCAACCATTAATTTCAAATATCAAAACGCATTTATAGAACAGAGATTTCAGAAGGTCATCTCTAAGTCACGTGGCAATCAATTAATTTATTATTTTCGTTTATAAAACGATAACGATTGTCGATACTGAACTTGGGTAGGGGGGAGGTCTACGTACTACGGCGTCTATGGCTCTCAGTTATATATCCGATCCTGTATATATCCGAAGTCGGTTTTTGAGCCAAACAAAGGGAAAGTATATAAGGTTGGTGGTTGACTTTATTCTTCTTTTCTTGATAAGCTTATATAGAAAAGGTGATTAGTCCAGCAGTGCAGTGGACCTAACCTGAGTTGTATATGCAAGCGCATTAATAGACCGCAGCGTGGCTCAGAGCAGACAAAAAAACGAGGTGGCTTTTGGCCAGTAAGAGTCTGACACCTTCTTTCATCCAGGGTAGGAGAATTAATGATATGATTTTCCTCCCTCAAAAAAGCAGCATAGTGGACCATCAAGGCCTGTTGATTTGAATCAACAATACTCTTATAACCTTAATCAAAACAATAATAAATTTACTCAACCTAGTTAATTGATAATTATCGTATAGTCCTAATTAATTTAATGCATTGAATCGCGATGAAGTTCATTCAAATCATTCGCCATTCAATCATTCACTGCGGTTGGTCTTGACGTCAACGTAGAACGTCAACGTCTAGTAAACATTCATTGTCATAATGTCCTTATAACTTTATGTAAGTATACGTAAAATGATATATAAAAATCAAACACAAATATTATTATGAAAATATATAAAATTTTTGTTTTTTTTTTTTAAACTTTACCTCACAATAGGATTTTCTCCTGTGTCGTGGTTGCGTTTAGGAATCGAAATTGAGTGTTTTCAGTGTGTCATGTTTTTCGAAGAAAAAGTCGTGCGTTCAAATTATGCTGAAATTATATGTTGTTATAAGTGTTCCAAAAGTACACATGTTTACATGAGTACATGGTTTGGGCATATTGAAAGGACAAAAAAAATGCTGTACAAAAGGTATGTGACTGGTAAAATCTACTGATTTTACCAGTCACACTAGCCCTAAGCCCTAAGAGAAAATACTCTAAATTTACTAATAGACTTACGAGAAAGGTGCGAAGTGCGAAATAACCCAAAATCAGCCTATGGACTAAATGCATGAAAGTTATCGAAGCTAAAAAAGTATGCATGGATCATAAAAATAATGTAATGAGTATCATTTTCTTAAAAGACTTGCTACTTCAGCGCGGTTTCACTCGCTACTCGGCTCCATTTGATTGTAGCGTGAAGTTTTATAGCCTATAGCACTCGGGAACATTGTAGCTATCAATAAGTGAAAGAATTTTGGGAATACGACCAGTGGTTCCAAAGGATTCCCCCTACATACAAACTTACAAATGTTACCTTTTTATAATATGAGTATAGACTAATGTAGATACATTTAGATAGCTATTTAAGATATTTTGAAAGTATTTGAAAGATTACAATGGAAACTTCCTTAAATAAAATATAGGTGCAGATACTATAAGAGGGATATTTTTTTTTGTCGTTACTCGCTTCCAGGATACACATTCCACATTAATCACTGATGGTAAGCAATCAGCGCCGTGTTATTTACAAGTGTTAGTTATGCTTAAAGCCCTACTTTAAGCATAGGATATTTGTGGATAAATTATTTACTTGTTTAGTTCAGTAATCAGGAAAAGAAAACTCTACAGATACCTGATTACCATAATTATCTATTTGGTCCAAGGAAACCTGAAATGCTATGTACCTATTATCATAGCCCCACAATGTGTTTTAATACCTAGTATTCATTTAGCTAAGCATCTAGTGAATTTGTTCCATTTACTTACAACTTTTGGATGTGAGCCAAAAATATTGTCTGCGGAAAGAAACATTAGAATATCTCTCGTTTCATTTGCATAAAGAACTAGGATCATGAGACGCTGCCCGCCATCTTGCAAAAGCCTTGAAAAATTTGTAGTTTGTTTTTTTTCATGCAAAGCTCCTTCGTTGGTATGATTTTTTAAAAGCAGTTTTAATTGGCTATAAGCTCATTGCATGGATATGTATAATTCTTAATCGACAATACTTGTCACATATTATATATATACACTAGCTAAATCCCTATTTAACGAAAACACGAGAGTTCATACCAGCGCCATCAAAAGTGCAATAAAATTATAGTCATGTGACAATTGTCAAGTCCGATTACGAATGTCTTTCAACAATAATTGTTAAGAGCTAACCTGTGTGTCAAATTGGATTACACTTTTTTCAGCACGATGGCAGATACTACAAGCCGCTGGTATGATTTTAATATTCATTTACTTTAGTGGGAGGTGCGGGACAAGCGCAATAACTCACCTCGGCCAAGAAGAGAAGAAAAAGTCGAAGAAGAAATAGGGTTTTTCAATCAGTAAGCGCCTGACACTCCCTCCTTAGGCGGAGAAGTCATTTTACTGTTGCTTCATCAGTTCCATAAAAGAGGAGTTGGAGCCTATTACCATTTTGCGAGTCAAGCACATTAAGGTACCGTGGTCTCAGTCTGGTGCAGGAGAGCAAACGGGGGGCTCTTAGTCAGTAAGAGTCTGACTCAAACTATTGCCTTATCCTGGGTGGGAAAAGTCATTTGATAATTGTCCCTTGCAATTAAAGCCTATTACCGTTTACCGGGCTTATTATAGTGAGAATATAATATTTTTATCGGACATCACACCTTTCGGCAGTATTCGCATTTGTCTACACGAAAAATGAGGCAATTCGTTTTGTAATATTAATATTTGGAAATATCTTATTGAATTTGTCTTTCCAGAATCACAATCTTGTAAAAATTGGCGACACAACAATCCATAGTATATGAATTTTTATTTTTAATGAAACAAAAAAAAAATATTTTTTTAATTAAATATATTTAATCAATTAGGTCTTATATTTAATCAATATTACATTTTGCTAATTGCCTGCTAAATGTTCACAAATATTTTTTATTATTCTTTAAAACCTTGCCACACTGGCAATCAATCGACTGCACGGTCGACGCGATGGCTGGGCATCCGGTTGCTGTCCAATGTGTCCTAGGGTCGATTACAACACGGAACAACACTTTGTACTCGTAACCCACAACACAGTAGAAAATACTAGAGTGGGGCAATATTTATTAAAAAAAAAAACTTAATCAGATACAGATCATGCATAAAATATTATTTTCAGTAACAGTCTAATACTCTCTCTCTCTCTCTTTCTCCACACAGGGCATGAAAAACATTTGAGGATTATCCCTCAAAATATAACCACCCTTTGTTACAAATATGACGATCTTAAAAAAAACTATCATAGTTTCAAGTTTGACGACCTTAGTATTTGATGTACAAACTGAGAAATTTATTGCTGAAATACATATGTTATTCCATGTCAGACTTGTGTCCCGAAAATTTCCTTCCATTTTACCAAGTCAATCCTTCTTGTCAGTTTGTAGTGAATGAAAAAATTACACGACAAGGTCACGTACAAAAGGGACGACTCTGAAGTTATTTCGAGCGACGTACAGACGTACAAACAACTTGAGCCTCGATATTAACATAAGTAGACACGGCGCTTTGTTATGTTCAAGATTCCTAATAACTTTGGAACGTGCCACTGTTTTGTATAAATTAATTTTGTCTTGAAATGTGGAAATTCATCAAAGAACCAAAGTTATTCTGAAGTGCCAATAGGCAGGCCATACCGTTTGAAAGATGGATTGTTGATGGGCCTGGAAAATAGTCTAGTTCGGACCGGAAAACGTAGCGTGGGCAGGCCTCCAGCTAGGTGGACCAACGATTTCGTCAAAGTCGCGGTTGGTCAATAGCTGATGCAGTAATGGTAAGCCTTTGCTCAGCAGTGGACGTCTTTTATGTTACAAAAATGGGTTTTTTTGGTCTAGTCGACATTTATGTATATGTGAAATTGTTTGTTGTCCAACGCAACTACTACGTAGGGGAAAATCTATGGCTCACTAGTAAAAAGAAAAGCTATTGTATCGTGCATGCAATGTTTATGTTAGTAAACGCTTAAAGGGCATTGAAACGTAAAAAAATAAACCATAAACTTTTAATAAAAGAGAAATGAAACCGATTATATAGTACCGTGATAATTAAAGTAATATTTGCGTCA